CGTTCTGAAGAGGTGCGAGGAGACGAATCTGGCACTCAGCTGGGAGAAGTGCCATTTCATGGTTCGTGAGGGTATCGTGCTTGGGCACAAGATCTCCAAGAAGGGGATTGAGGTAGATCGCGCAAAGATTGAGACGATCAGTCAGCTACCTCCTCCCGTTTCTGTGAAGGGGATTCGCAGCTTTCTGGGTCATGCAGGCTTTTACCGGCGCTTCATCAAAGACTTCTCGAAGATTGCCCTGCCGTTGACCAAGCTGTTGGAGAAGGATGCGTCATTCCAGTTCACTCCAGAGTGCACAGCTGCATTTGAGACTCTGAAGGAGAAGCTTACCCATGCCCCTATCATGGTGACTCCTAACTGGTCTCTTCCTTTTGAGCTGATGTGCGATGCGAGTGACTATGCAGTCGGAGCAGTTCTGGGTCAGAGACGCGAGAAACACTTCCAGCCCACCTACTACGCGTCGAAGACCTTGAACGATGCACAGGAGAACTACACCACCACAGAGAAGGAGCTCCTCGCTGTGGTGTATGCATTTGACAAGTTCCGACCCTATCTGGTGCTCTCTCATGTGGTGGTTTACACTGACCACTCGGCGATTCGTTATCTGATGAGCAAGGCTGATGCAAAGCCTAGGCTCATCCGCTGGATCTTGCTGCTGCAGGAGTTTGATATCGAGATCCGGGACAAGAAGGGAGCCGAGAATGTTGCTGCAGATCATCTTTCACGGTTGGAAGCCCCTCCGGTGGACAACTTCGAGGAAGAGATCGACGACTCCTTCCCGGGTGAGCGATTGCTGGCGATGACCCTGGTGGACAGCGTGACCCCTTGGTATTCTGACTTTGCCAATTATCTGGTGGGCAAGCAGTTACCCAAGGGGATGGCTACTCATGCGAAGCGCAAGTTCTTCTCCGATCTGAAGCACTACTTCTGGGAGGATCCTTACCTCTTCAGAATCGGAGCAGATGGCGTGATCCGGCGCTGTGTCATGGAGCATGAGATGGGAGATATCCTGTCTCAATGTCACGAAGGACCCCACTGGCGGTCATCATGGAGGAACCCGCACGGCGCGGAAGGTGCTACAGTCGGGCTTCTATTGGCCCTCGCTCTTCAAGGATGCAGACACCTTCGCACGCCAGTGCGACCGCTGCCAAAGGTCAGGTAACATTTCTGCCCGGGATGAGATGCCCCAACATATATCTGTTATTTGTGAAATTTTTGATGTTTGGGGTATCGATTTCATGGGCTCATTCCCTCCATCTTTTGGCAATCTGTACATTTTGGTTGCAGTGGACTACGTCTCGAGGTGGGCAGAAGCTCAAGCCATGCCCACCAATGATGCAAGACGGGTCTGCTCATTTCTGAAGCAGCTGTTCTCCCGGTTCGGGACACCTCGCGCCATTATTAGTGATAGATGAACCCATTTTCAGGGGCAATTCACTAAACTCCTCTCTCGCTATGGCGTTAAGCATCAGGTGTCGGTGGCCTATCACCCCCAGTCAAATGGGCAGGCCGAGCTGACGAACCGGGAGTTAAAACGTATAATTGAAAAGACGGTGGATCAGTCCCGCAAGGATTGGTCCACCAAGCTCGATGATGCTCTCTGGGCGTATAGGACTGCCTATAAGAACCCGATTGGCACTTCTCCCTATAGGCTTGTCTATGGGAAGGCGTGCCATTTGCCGGTAGAGCTAGAGCACAAGGCCTTCTGGGCCATTAAGCTGCTAAACATGGATTTGAGTGTTGCAGGTATAGAACGTAAGTTGCAGCTGCTGGAGTTGGAGGAGTGGCATTACCACGCTTACGAGAACACCCTGCTCTACAAAGAGCGCACCAAGCGTCTCCACGACGCTAGGTTGAGGGGCCCGAAGGAGTTTCAGGTAGGTGATCGTGTTCTGCTCTTTAATGCACGCCTGAAACTCTTTCCGGGCAAGCTCCGTTCTAGGTGGTCGGGTCCTTTCACGGTGACCCAAGTTTTCCCGCATGGTGCGGTGGAGATCAGCAATGCTCAAACCGAGCCATTCAAGGTGAATGGCCATCTCCTAAAGTTGTACTTGGGAGGTGCTGTCGAGCGCGCAGAGCTGCTGATCAAGCTCGAGGACCCTTAGTTCCTCTACTGGCGTCCAGCTAAAAGACGGTAAAGAAGCGCTTGTGGGGAGGCAACCCCACCGAGGTTTGCATTTTCTTACTCTTTGTCCTTTGATTTTGTGTGTTTTTGAGTCTTGAGACGTTGATCCAGAGTTACGTGTCGTTTTTTAGTGAAAACAGGTTGATTTCGGGACCCCAGCAAGTCGCACGGCCAGAAAATCAACTTGCACGGCCGTGCGCCTAGCCTGGCCTGGCCGTGCGAGCTCTCGGCCAGGAGTGCACGGCCAAAAGTGCACAACGCACGGCCGTGCAGCATCCTCGGCCAGGCCGTGCGCCTTGCACGGGCAACATGACGCCTCGCACGGCCGTGCGGGTACCACCCCCTGGCCGTGCGAGCTCTCGGCGATAGTTGCACGGCCAAATGTGCCTTGTGCACGGCCGTGCAACATCCTCGGCCAGGCCGTGCCGGCCTGCACGGGCAAAAGCAACCCGTGCACGGCCGTGCGCCTTGCCCGTGCAGCCGAGGCACGGGCTATATAAATGGCCGTGCACGGCCATAGTGGTCAGAAAATCAAAACTCTCGCCGGAAACCTCTCCCCCTCGCCGGAAAACCGCGCAAAAACTACCCTATTTCGATTTTTCCGGCCACTTTGGGTATTTTTTTCACCAAACCAACACCAAGCCCACTCTTTCTACACCCAAAGCGGCCTATCCCCCGAGTTTGAGCGAGTTTGGGCGACATTTTTGTCGCCGGAGGCGATTTCCGGCGAGAATCCGGCGAGGCTCCGACGAGCATTTCCGGCCAGATTTTCGGCATTTCGTCGATTCCCTTGTCTTCCCCTCATCATCCCCTGCACCTCTACTTGAGTCTCCAGGTTTGATTTTGTCCCTAACTATGTTAATTGTGGAGAATTGAGTGTGTAGGGTGTATGTTAGAGAATCTTATTGAATCCTGTGATTTGTGTGAAATTGATTGAGGGGAATGCATGGGATGTGATTGAATTATGTTGGGCAATGTCCCATTTGCTTGTTTGAGCCCTTGTGTGCAAGAATTTGGCCAATTTCATGCTTAACTTAATAGTGCACACAAGGTGTTCGATGAAATGCCTGTTTTCCATGCCATGTTGTGGCCACCGGTTGGGGCCCTTAATGATGTAGTTTGTGGGTGTATTTGCTATGGATGTGAACCTTGAGTTGCCTACTTTCTTGTGAATGTGCACCCCCACCCAGATTATGCTTGATTTATCGAGTTTTTGACCCCCGAACTATGGATGAAACCATGGTTCGGCTGCTTCCTGTTCTTAAGTGTGGGGGTGGGCTTGACCTTTTCTTTGGCTCTTTTGGTTCCACTTTGGGTTGTTGTTTTGCAGGGCAATGGCACAACCTAATTTCCAGCACCCGTTCATCCGGGATCTCAGGAGGGGCTCCACCGGAGAGCGCTTCAAGAAGGTCGTGGAAACCCCGTTTGGCGCCCACCATTGCTGGTCCAAACGGGAGTTTCGGCGATTGCACTGCTACAAGCAGCTCTCCGCCGTGGTCGCCAACACCGCATGGCGCCGTCTGTTCCAGATCTGCGAGACGGTCTACTACGAGCCGGTGTGGGAGTTCTACACCACTTTCAAGCACAACTCCACGACCAGATACCATGACAGTACAGCCGTCCAATTCAGGCTGGGTGGTGTCCCCCGGTCCTTGAGCTATCACGAGCTGGCTGAGGCTCTCGACCTCGACCTTGACGACAGTGCGGACTACGTCACCGAGGTAACTGAGCCACCGGAGGTGGACTTCAGGAGGCTGTACACCAGTCTCGCTCAGCCTGGCCAGACGCGTCCTTTCAAGTCTGGGAGGACGAAGGCCTCTACCCTACGGATCGAGTACCGACTTCTCCATCACCTGCTGGCGAAGTCTTACACTCCTGCATCTGACAGCGCCGGCGCCATCACGAAGAGGCCCCTGTACTTCCTCGATTCGATCCGCCAGCGCCGCCATCCTCTCCACCTGGGTTCGGTGGTGGCCAAGACATTCGAGAAGACGGCCACAGAGCTGAAGAGCCTCCACTGCGCCCCCCTCATCACCCGCCTGGTTACCTTCTTCGGCCTCTCACTGCAGGGGTGCACCAAGGAGGGGGAGACTGTAACATCCCTGCCCTCGTACTAGTATTACGTTATAATTACGTGGTTGTGATTGGGTTACAAAAATTAGTCTTTTGAACCAAAAAGAAAGTGAATAGTGGAAGTGCTAGACTTAATTGCAAGTGAAGGAAAGTTTAGGGCCAAATAGACAATTTGGAGGGATGGAGAATTCTAGATAAGGGAGATAAAATCTGCCCATCCTCTTATCTCTCATTTCCTTCTCATCCCTTCCCCTCACTCTCTCCCACGTCTCTCTCTTGCTCTCTTCCTTTCACCTGGTTTCACCACCTCAAAAACCACCACCCCCCTTTCAGAAACAAAGAGTGAAAGCTAGAAAGAAAAGCATATCAAGGAGAGGAAGAGGAAGAAGAAGGAGGCAAAAGGGGTGCTGCCAATTTCCGTCCAGCAGCGAGACAGCCTGTGAGAAGGACGATTCCGGACAATCAAACCGTTGGATCATCCTGAGATTTGTAGGTTGGGTTTCATACTTCTTTGGCTACGATTTGACCGTTGGGATCATCGATATGATCTCTGGTTCAGCGAGGAAAGTCGCTGGACAGAAGGGGTGCGATACTGTTTTTCTGTAGCAGGACAGCAGATAGAGGTAAGATCCTGTGCGAATCCGCCGTTGGATCGTTCTAGAAATTTGGTATGAGGTTAAGTATAGGTGGTTCTTCGAATGGACCGTTCAGAATGTAGTTTTGATGTCGGAGTGGTCAGGAACAATTGTTAGAAGAAGGAGAGTTGGTTTTAAAGTGAAAAGAAAGTTGTTGACAGTTTTGAAATGTCAAGTTAAAATGATTGCTGGGATCAAAAGGCTGATCCAAATGGTCTGAAATTTGGATATGTTGTAGCCCTATGAATATAGTTTCAGTAGCAACAAGAATCAACGGATTTGGTTAAGTATCAAGGGAGAAATGATCAAAATGAGGAAGCATGGTAAAGTGTACAATCGTATGACTTCCCTTGTGGTCTTATTGACATGCATGAATATAACCATGATTATGATGATTGTATACGTGTCTTGGTGCTTGAATAACCTGGAAATCTTGTACATAAAGGTAAGGATCAAGCCGGGGGCTCATCCAAAGGCAAGGGCATAGCCGAGTGAAGACAAAGCTGTGAGTAGATTCTAATCTTAGATCTACCTCAACATAATCACAGTATTCGGGTCATGAAGCGGCCCGAATACATATCGGGGTCATGAAGAGGCTCCGGTATAATATGGGAATTTATGGGAAATGATATGGCTATGTGATATGGCTTGTTTGTGTTTATTCATTATCTGCATTTGGTATGAAGTTGGAAATGCATGAATTGTGAATGAGATGTGGAAAGACATTTTGTTGATTTATTGTGCGGATTATGAGCAAGTAGTCGAACTTGCGAACCCGTCTTGTCTGTTCAGATTTGGAGTGAGCCATTAGGCTTACTAATCCTGTTCTGCTTGAATAACTCGGAGTAAGCTCTTCAGCTTACTTTCCATTCTGTTGTGACTGAGGGTACAAAAGCACTATGAATGCTTTTGAGCCTATAGTGTCTAAGTGAACTATTAATGAAAAGAGGTGAATACTTAAGAATAAGTAAAAAGGTTTTATGATACCTCGGTACAGTAGTGTGTCCTGTTTGTATCGATGTGGTTAAACCCCACGATACTCCTGTTTGAGCGCTCGTGCTTCGCACCGTGCCGTTTGGGTGACGACCCACGGTACTCCTGTTCTGTTCAGTTAGCCGGGCTGGGGTAATCCCGTGGCGACTCCTGTTTTGTATCGGTCCGGGTTGTGTCCCGCGATATTCCTGTTGGTGCGAGCACTCCTGTTTCATGCCTTGAGCACTCCTGTTTCGTGCCTTGAGCACTCCTGTTTCGTGCCTTGTGCAATCCTGTTCGTACCGGATGGGGTTTTGTCCCGCGGTACTCCAGTTATCTAATGGCTGTACATGGTTATCCTGCAGCCTTCCACTACTGTACTACCCGAGGAGTATATCATTTAGCAAGTTTGAAAGTGAAATTGTATAAGTAAAATGCCTCTATCTGTCATCTGTTTTATGTGTTTTTGACTATGAGATGTGAACATGTGAACTTGATTGATCCTGTGGAATGAAAAGTAGAATAAACAGCTTAAGTCCTGTTATGTGCTAGGGTGTTTCTGTCCAATACTGTTTTTGTATTGATGTCGATCTGAGCTTAGAATTTATTCACTGAGCGACGACTCATCCTTCGTCATCATTTTTCCTCAGATCAAGATCAGAAGTAAGGTCTGTACTGTAGATATCGGGACTCAAGCGTGAAGGGAAGCCATGAGGTGGGCGGAGGACTCCGAACTCCTTAAATGTTTTATGTTGTGTGGATTTTGTAATAAAGCGGACTTCCCCGGTTTTCTGTTTTGACTCTGATGAAAATGTAAATTATGGTTTGAAGTTTGAGAAAAAAAAATATATGTAGAGCTCGGGCCCGAGAATGTTTAAACTTGATGTATTTTACTGTTTCGTTTTGTAATATAAAGTAAGGGTTTCACATTTTTGGTATCAGAGCTGGGATATGATCCCGTGGATACCAAACGTTTTAAACGAGATTTTACTGGGAATACTTAAATGATTTGACGGGGAAGTGACTAATTACTGATTTTGACTCCGGATTTTGTTTTTGTGGAGTTCAGTCAAGGAGCAGATCCGCAACCTCACGGGAATCCTAATGCTGGAGGTTCTAATTTTAATGGAAATAATGCTGAGTCCCGCAATAGAGCCAATCCTTATGTCAAGGATTTTGAAAAGCTGAGGAATATGGGGGCTGAGTTCTTTAAAGGGGCTATTGACCCTAAAGATGCTCTGGATTGGATCAAGGAGATGGAACGAATCTTTAACCTCCTTGAGTGTCCTGATGAAGCAAGAGTGGAGTATATGTACTACCTGCTCAGGTCTGATGTTTATGACTGGTGGTTGACCGTACCCGGGGCTCAGGATCGTACAATTCGGTATACCTGGGCGGAATTTCTTGAGAAATTCCGTAAGCAATATGTGCCTGATCTGTATGTGGATAGGAAGAAGAAAGAGTTTCTGGACCTGAAAGAGCAAAGGGGGCAGACTGTTAAAGAGTATGATGCCACTTTCCATCGTTTGATGACCTTCGCGATGGAGTTGGTACCTACTGAACGAGCTAGATGTAACCGCTATGAGCAAGGCCTGAATCCCCAGATCAAGATGATAGTAGCAAAATCAGAGACGACTGATCTTGCCACCTTGAGAGAGGCTGCCATGAGAGCAGAGGATTTGGTGAATGAAATGGGAGCACAAATGGCTGAAGGAAGGAAGAGGACGTGGAAGAATGTGGGTTCCTCGAGTGCTGGGAACTCATTCGGGGGTAGACCTAATCAGATTCCGAAGATTTCACGTCCAGTGGCCAGTTACCCCGGACAGGAGCGGAGAAGTGCAGGCCCAGCTCCTATTTGCCCACATTGTGGGAATCAGCATGTGGGTGTTTGTAGGAGGGTGACTGGTGGGTGTTTCCGATGTGGAGACACCAGCCACTTCCTCCGTGATTGTCCCCACATGTCAGAGTCCAGGCCTGCTGGATCCCAGACCACAATTCAAGGGTCCAGAAGGACTGGAGGTTCAGTGAGAGTATCAGGAAGAGGTGGTAATAATCGTGGCAAAAGTCAGGGTGGACAGAGCAGTCGGGGTGAAGTGCAGCCACGATCCTTTGCTATGACTAGGAGGGAGGCTGACATCTCTCCAGAGGTCGTTACTGGTACGGTTCTTATCTACGATCTTACCGCTTATGCGTTGATTGATCCTGGTGCCACTCATTCATTCATATCTTCTGCATTCTCACGTGGGTTGCCTGTGCACTATGAAATGTTGAACAAGAATGTAATAGTTCAAACCCCAGTAGGAGATACCGTAGTGATTGAATATGCCTATCCTGATGCCCCAATAAGTCTAGCTGGAACTATTCTGCCAGCTAACTTATTGAGGTTAGTGCTGACTGAATTCGATATAATTCTAGGAATGGATTGGTTAAGCCAACATAGAGCCGTAATGAACTGTTATACTAAGGAAGTAATTTTCGAAAGACCAGATGGTCAGAATGTGATTTTTCGAGGGACTAGACAGGTGGTGCCTAGTTAACTAGTCTCGGCCACCAAGGTGGTGAGTTTGATGAAGGAAGGCTGTGAAGTGTATCTGGCTTATGTGACTGAGGGCAAACCGGAATTGAAACCTGAAAATGTTCCGGTTGTGAAGGAGTTCCTGGATGTGTTCCCTTCGGAACTGCCAGGATTACCTCCGGAAAGGGAAATAGATTTCACTATTGAACTGATACCGGGCACTGCTCCGATCTCTGTATCTCCGTACCGGATGTCTCCGTTTGAACTTAAAGAACTGAAGGAGCAACTTCAAGAGTTGCTAGATAAGGGGTTTATTAGACCTAGTGTCTCCCCTTGGGGCGCTCCGGTATTATTTGTGAAGAAGAAAGATGGAACTTTTTGTCTGTGTATTGACTATCGGAAGCTCAACAAGTTAACGGTTAAGAATAAATATCCATTACCTCGGATTGATGATTTATTTGACCAACTACAAGGATCGAGGGTCTTTTCCAAGATTGATCTAAGATCAGGTTATCATCAATTAAGGGTAGCGGATGAGTCCATACCGAAGACAGCCTTTCGTACTAGGTATGGGCATTACGAATTTCTCGTTATGCCTTTCGGGTTAACAAATGCTCCAGCTGTGTTCATGGCACTGATGAACCGAGTGTTTCAGGAATATCTAGATAAGTTTGTGATCGTCTTTATTGATGATATTCTAGTGTATTCTGGAAGTGAAGAAGAGCACATGGAGCATTTGAGAATCGTACTGCAGATTCTGAGGGAAAAGCAGTTGTATGCTAAGTTCAGCAAATGTGAATTTTGGATGGATCAAGTAGTATTTTTGGGCCATGTGGTGTCTGAGAGAGGTATAGAGGTGGATCCAAGGAAAGTAGAAGCAGTGATACAATGGGAGCCACCGAAAAATATACCTGAACTAAGAAGTTTCCTTGGCATGGCCGGATACTACAGAAGGTTCATTGAGGGGTTCTCTCTGATTGCTGCACCATTGACAAAGTTACTGAGGAAAGAGCAATCTTTTATATGGGATAATAAATGTCAATCCAGTTTCGAAGAGTTGAAGCGGAAGTTAACCACTGCACCGGTTCTTGCCCTTCCCTCAGGAACTGGAGGTTATGTGGTATACAGTGATGCTTCCCATCAAGGGTTAGGATGTGTTCTCATGCAACATGGTAAAGTAATTGCTTATGCTTCCAGGCAATTACGACCGTATGAGAAATCTTATCCGACTCATGATTTAGAACTGGCGGCTGTGGTATTCGCCTTAAAGATTTGGCGTCATTATTTGTACGGTGAGACTTTTCAGATCTTTACTGATCATAAGAGTCTCAAGTACTTGATGGAGCAAAAAGAGCTAAATCTTAGGCAAAGGAGATGGTTAGAGTTGTTGAAAGATTACGAGTGTACCATCGAATACCATCCAGGCAAAGCAAATGTTGTGGAAGATGCTTTGAGTCGAAAGACCACGCATCGTACTAAAAATGAGGAGACTGGTTTAATGGCAAATTTGATTGCTTTGAGAGCTATGAGTGTTGAATTGGAAATGAATTCCACAGGAGGGTTATTGGCCACTTTACAAGTGCGACCAATTCTGAGAGAAAGAATTATTAAAGTTCAGGATCAAGACCCTGAATTGAGGAAGATTATTGATAAGAGTCGTAAAGGGGAAGAAACTAAATTCACATTCCGAGATGGCGTTCTGACACTAAATGAAAGACTTTGTGTTCCAAATGTGGATGAATTGCGAAGGGAGATTTTGGAAGAAGCTCATTCCTCTCCTTATGCAATGCATCCCGGAACGACAAAAATGTACCGTTCGTTGAGATCTCATTATTGGTGGCCAAGGATGAAGAAAGAAGTGGCTGAACATGTCTTGACGTGTCTGGTATGTCAGAAAGTGAAAGCTGAACATCAAGCCCCAGCGGGAAAATTGCAACCACTGTCCATTCCAGAATGGAAATGGGAAAAGATTACCATGGACTTTGTCTATGGTCTACCTAGGACTCAGAAGAAGAACGACGCCGTTTGGGTCATTGTGGACCGATTGACAAAGTCGGCTCACTTTATACCCATTAGATGGGGTTGTTCGCTAGAGTTACTGACAAAGAAGTATGTGGAGGAAATAGTGAGACTACATGGAGTACCAGTATCCATCGTCTCTGACAGAGATCCGAGGTTCACTTCTCGATTCTGGAAGAGTTTGCAAGAAGCACTAGGTACTCGTCTGAACTTTTCAACCGCTTTTCATCCCCAGACCGATGGTCAATCCGAGCGAACAATCCTCACTCTTGAGGAAATCTTGCGAGCTTGTGTACTGGATTTCCAAGGTTCTTGGGATGAACATTTGCCACTGATTGAATTTGCTTATAACAACCAGTACCATAGTAGTATTGGTATGGCTCCATACGAAGCTCTGTATGGAAGGAAATGCAGATCCCCAGTGTGCTGGGATGAGGAAGGGTTACGGCAATTGGAGGGACCTGAAATCGTTCAGATGACAGTGGATAAGATTAAAGTGATCAGAAGCCGATTGAAGGCCACACAAAACCGGCAAAAGAGCTATGCTGATATCCACCGAAGAGAGATGGAATTTCAGAGTGGAGAGAAAGTATTTTTGAAAGTGTCTCCTTGGAGGGGTGTTTTGAGATTCCAGAAGAAGGGTAAGTTAAGTCCGAGGTATATCGGACCTTATGAGATTCTGGAAAAGATAGGTCCGGTAGCCTATCGACTTGCCTTACCACCAGAATTGTCTCAAGTTCATGATGTCTTCCATGTGAGTTTGCTTCGAAGATACCGATCGAATCCGTCACATGTACTGGAACCAGATGAGATTGAGGTCCAGAAAGATCTAAGCTATGTGGAGGAACCAAAAGAGATCGTGGACCAAAAGGTGAAACAACTTAGGAATCGAAGTATTCCTATGGTGAAAGTAATTTGGAAAAGTCACACTGGAGAAGAAGCCACGTGGGAGATGGAAGAAAGCATGAAAGCACAATACCCCTACTTGTTTCAAGGTAAATTTCGGGACGAAATTTTATTTAGAGGGGAGGAAATGTAACATCCCTGCCCTCGTACTAGTATTACGTTATAATTACGTGGTTGTGATTGGGTTACAAAAATTAGTCTTTTGAACCAAAAAGAAAGTGAATAGTGGAAGTGCTAGACTTAATTGCAAGTGAAGGAAAGTTTAGGGCCAAATAGACAATTTGGAGGGATGGAGAATTCTAGATAAGGGAGATAAAATCTGCCCATCCTCTTATCTCTCATTTCCTTCTCATCCCTTCCCCTCACTCTCTCCCACGTCTCTCTCTTGCTCTCTTCCTTTCACCTGGTTTCACCACCTCAAAAACCACCACCCCCCTTTCAGAAACAAAGAGTGAAAGCTAGAAAGAAAAGCATATCAAGGAGAGGAAGAGGAAGAAGAAGGAGGCAAAAGGGGTGCTGCCAATTTCCGTCCAGCAGCGAGACAGCCTGTGAGAAGGACGATTCCGGACAATCAAACCGTTGGATCGTCCTGAGATTTGTAGGTTGGGTTTCATACTTCTTTGGCTACGATTTGACCGTTGGGATCATCGATATGATCTCTGGTTCAGCGAGGAAAGTCGCTGGACAGAAGGGGTGCGATACTGTTTTTCTGTAGCAGGACAGCAGATAGAGGTAAGATCCTGTGCGAATCCGCCGTTGGATCGTTCTATAAATTTGGTATGAGGTTAAGTATAGGTGGTTCTTCGAATGGACCGTTCAGAATGTAGTTTTGATGTCGGAGTGGTCAGGAACAATTGTTAGAAGAAGGAGAGTTGGTTTTAAAGTGAAAAGAAAGTTGTTGACAGTTTTGAAATGTCAAGTTAAAATGATTGCTGGGATCAAAAGGCTGATCCAAATGGTCTGAAATTTGGATATGTTGTAGCCCTATGAATATAGTTTCAGTAGCAACAAGAATCAACGGATTTGGTTAAGTATCAAGGGAGAAATGATCAAAATGAGGAAGCATGGTAAAGTGTACAATCGTATGACTTCCCTTGTGGTCTTATTGACATGCATGAATATAACCATGATTATGATGATTGTATACGTGTCTTGGTGCTTGAATAACCTGGAAATCTTGTACATAAAGGTAAGGATCAAGCCGGGGGCTCATCCAAAGGCAAGGGCATAGCCGAGTGAAGACAAAGCTGTGAGTAGATTCTAATCTTAGATCTACCTCAACATAATCACAGTATTCGGGTCATGAAGCGGCCCGAATACATATCGGGGTCATGAAGAGGCTCCGGTATAATATGGGAATTTATGGGAAATGATATGGCTATGTGATATGGCTTGTTTGTGTTTATTCATTATCTGCATTTGGTATGAAGTTGGAAATGCATGAATTGTGAATGAGATGTGGAAAGACATTTTGTTGATTTATTGTGCGGATTATGAGCAAGTAGTCGAACTTGCGAACCCGTCTTGTCTGTTCAGATTTGGAGTGAGCCATTAGGCTTACTAATCCTGTTCTGCTTGAATAACTCGGAGTAAGCTCTTCAGCTTACTTTCCATTCTGTTGTGACTGAGGGTACAAAAGCACTATGAATGCTTTTGAGCCTATAGTGTCTAAGTGAACTATTAATGAAAAGAGGTGAATACTTAAGAATAAGTAAAAAGGTTTTATGATACCTCGGTACAGTAGTGTGTCCTGTTTGTATCGATGTGGTTAAACCCCACGATACTCCTGTTTGAGCGCTCGTGCTTCGCACCGTGCCGTTTGGGTGACGACCCACGGTACTCCTGTTCTGTTCAGTTAGCCGGGCTGGGGTAATCCCGTGGCGACTCCTGTTTTGTATCGGTCCGGGTTGTGTCCCGCGATATTCCTGTTGGTGCGAGCACTCCTGTTTCGTGCCTTGAGCACTCCTGTTTCGTGCCTTGAGCACTCCTGTTTCGTGCCTTGTGCAATCCTGTTCGTACCGGATGGGGTTTTGTCCCGCGGTACTCCAGTTATCTAATGGCTGTACATGGTTATCCTGCAGCCTTCCACTACTGTACTACCCGAGGAGTATATCATTTAGCAAGTTTGAAAGTGAAATTGTATAAGTAAAATGCCTCTATCTGTCATCTGTTTTATGTGTTTTTGACTATGAGATGTGAACATGTGAACTTGATTGATCCTGTGGAATGAAAAGTAGAATAAACAGCTTAAGTCCTGTTATGTGCTAGGGTGTTTCTGTCCAATACTGTTTTTGTATTGATGTCGATCTGAGCTTAGAATTTATTCACTGAGCGACGACTCATCCTTCGTCATCATTTTTCCTCAGATCAAGATCAGAAGTAAGGTCTGTACTGTAGATATCGGGACTCAAGCGTGAAGGGAAGCCATGAGGTGGGCGGAGGACTCCGAACTCCTTAAATGTTTTATGTTGTGTGGATTTTGTAATAAAGCGGACTTCCCCGGTTTTCTGTTTTGACTCTGATGAAAATGTAAATTATGGTTTGAAGTTTGAGAAAAAAAAATATATGTAGAGCTCGGGCCCGAGAATGTTTAAACTTGATGTATTTTACTGTTTCGTTTTGTAATATAAAGTAAGGGTTTCACAGAGACCCCCATTTTTGGCAGCGCGACGATCGGGAAGATGCTGCTGTTGCGGGAGAGGAACGGTGTTCAGTGGGTCGAGGGATTTCCGGAGCCTCCTATCCCCGCGGAGCCCGAGGAGGAGGCTGACGATGAGGTGGACCCCGAGGAGGTGGATGCTGCTGCTGATGCTGCTGATGATCCCCCACAGACTGACTTCCATTTTGGGGGTAGCAGCTCCACTTTCCAGGGCCAGGACTACTTCACCCAGCAGTTCGAGCAGCTGAGGATCCAGAACCAGCTGCTCCTCGACCAGCAGATGCAGTTCCAGCAGCAGTACGCGGCAGATCAGGCCGAGTACCGGCACAGGCTGGACACGATCCAGACTCAGCAGGGCGTGACTCTCGCCCACATCGAGCGGGAGAAGCGTCGTTCCCGGCGCATGCAGGAGGTTCAGCAGCACCTGCTTCAGCTGATTCCGGGCGATCCACCTGTCTGGAGGACTCCCTGGGATGACTCCCCTCCACATGACGGTGCGGCTGGCGCTGCTGATGATGATGCGTTCATGAACGACATCGATCTCGACGATCTTGGCGACGAGTAGGCTGTACTCGTTGCCCGTCTCAGTGTGTTTGTTTTTTCTTTCTTTTTAGACTTTTGTGTGTTTGCTCCATGTGTGCGGAGCTTGAACTTTGTGTCGTTTGTTTTTGTTTTTGGTTTTTCATTTGTGGTTTGAAGTAGCCGTCTGGGCTAACACTATCCCTAACGCCAGTGTGCTAGTGTGTTTCTGGTGTTCGATCACTACAACAATTTTGGGATATTATGACAACGACGTTCGTCACAACAGATCCTACATTTGTCATAATAGCTCTATTATGACAAAAATATTTGTCATACCGTTGGTCAAAACTACCTCGTCGAAATAGCTCTATTATGACAAAAAATAGGCATCTTGTCACAACATGTTCCAGTGGCACGCCGTGCACATTTTGTCATAACAGGCATCTTGTTATGACAAAATGTTTTGTCAAAATACAGAAATGCTTCGTCACAATATGTTATTAATTTTTGTCACGATAGTTACCACTTTTGCTACGTTGTTGTGACAAATGTATAGTTTGTCATAGCAAACCTATTTTGACAAAGCCATGTGCTTGTCATAATATTTAAACTCAAACTCCATCTGACATTTGTCCTGATTAAACTTGTTTGTCATAACCTGATGCATATATGACAACCTGTGGGCATTATTATGACGACCTATTTTCCAAATCTGATACTATTCATACCATAAAGAAAACGGTACATCATTCAAATGTATCAAAAGCTACATCATTCATTGCCGAAATAAAAAACTACATCATTCATAGTTACAATCTGTTCCAAAAACCTACTGATCCATCCATCCAGACACCAAAACAAAGTCTTCCAAAGCGACATATGTTCGTCTTTCAAAAGAGAGTAATAAATAACAAAAGCTAACAGCCTTCCAAAGGTCCTTGAGCATCCAAAATGCATACCTACTGCCATATACCTAGGTACCTGCGTAATACAACGGTCAAAGTTTGAGTAAAACTTATTAAATAAAATTCAATTGAGTAGTAACACCGATGACAGTATAAGTACAACTTATGAGACTATTATTTTACCTTCAGCTAAACTTGTCTTCCATCAATTTTTGCAGCTAGTGACTCGACATATTTAGCTAGGGTATCCTGTGATGCTTGCAACCCTTTGATAATACCGTTCTGACTGTGTATCTCCTATTGCTGGTTTTCTATCTGCTCCTGTTGTGCATGAATCTGGTCCTCAAATTCTTTCCTCTGCCTCTCCCCCACAGCGAGTGTCTCCTCCAGTCGTGCCTCCAGTTCTTTCTCTCTTTGGGAACTCGAGCTGACTTTTCTGGTATAGCTGGGTGCTTTTTCCAGCACCATAAGAACAATCTCAGCACCGGATAATATTTTCCCTTCTGCCACTGCTTCAGCATGGATTCTTTTCATTTCCTCCTATGAACACAACAGTGGAGTCAGAGTATTTGCTAGGTCCGCTAACATCCAAGTAGTAGCTAGGTTTGCTAACAACCAAGTTCATTCACTTATATGACTAACTTAGCTACAATCAGACCCTATTTCACACATCCAAGTACTAGAACCAGCCCCTAATTAAAGAAAGGAAGAACCACAGCCGGTTGTGTTCACTTACATAGTTTTTTTTAGGTTGCTCATTGACCCAAGTCCCATTTTTCCTCTTATGTGTATCGGCATAAACTCTGATTTCCTTGGGCTCTACCTCAGCTTCATCAGATTCATTATCATTGTTCTCCGTATCAGCCTCATTGCTTGCTTCATCGGTTGTTTCCTAATAACAGTCCAGATTATAGAATGTTAGTAAGGTGCATTCTGGTATTGGAGTATAATGGAGGAGAAACCTTACCATTTCATACATTCGTTGGCTGCATGATTTGCCACCTGTAGTATGAGCAAAAGTCTGCATGCTTTTATTGCGCTTATTAGCATCACTTTGCCTCTGCATCGGCGTATAAGACAACATTCATTAGCACCTTATCCATATCTAACCTAGGATAACAGAACTACCTAATTAAATGCTTATCAGACTCAATCTATTCTTCATAAAAGACTTAGAAACAGAAAAGACTCCTTCATACATAACCATGGAGGTAAATTGTAAGGGGTTAACACAACCGGCCACATGCTGTAACTAGAACTGAAGTTCCCAAATGGATTAAAACCATCACTAAGAAGTGCAAGCCGCATATTTCTAGGATCGGCAGCAAACCAACTATGGTCCCTATCAAAAAATTTCCATGTTTCTGCATCCGCTGGATGCCTAAGCACATCGTCATTAATTCATTTTTCTTTGTGCCACCTCATGTCCTTGGCAATGTCCTTTGTCATGAACAGCCTAAGTAGCCTATCCTTTATAGGGAAATACCTAGCTGTTTTAATGGGAATATCCTTCCCTTTGCCTGGTTTATACCTAGATTTCTTACACTTGGGACACGTCTTTTCATTCTGGAGAGGACCTCGGAATAAGACACAGTTGTTAGGACATGCATCTATAATGGTATAACCAAACCCGAGGTCATGAATGTACCTCTTCACCTCATAATACGAATTAGGGAGATTCTCTCCATTTGGTAAAGCTTCCTTGATTAGATCCAAATTGAGGTTAAATGCTTTATCGCTACTATTGGTTAACATTTTGTTATTCATCATTTTCATAATGAAGGATAACTTTGAAAATTTCTTACACCCCGGATAAAGAGGACATTTAGCATCTTGTAGTAGTTTAGATAAGGTTGGATCCAGATTCACTCCCCCAAAACCCTCATTCATAGATTCAGAACCTGATGTACCAAACCTAGCAGCATTAGCTCGACTCAAATCATTCAACATGGAAGGCATTTCAATGTCAAAACCATGCATATCATTCTGACCAGTGTCCTCTAAACTATCAGTTGCCACGCTACCACCAATATCAGAATCCTCTCCATGATATATCCACAAACTGTAATCCTCTACCATCCCATTTAGGAACAAGTCAGCTTTCACAAGATCTATTGTTTTAAAGCAACAATTGTTGCATTTTCTGCACGGGCACCTAATTCTACCACTACCATCAACACATGCTTTGGCAACCCCTAGAAAGTACTCAACACCCTTCACATAATTAGCAGAAAATCGATTCTTCTGCTTCAACCAACCTCTATCCATTTAGTCTGTGTGAATAAATTAGGCTAACCTGTGCCTTGGGACGATTCTTGGATCACAAAATGCAGGTTGACCTTATAACTTCACTTGAGCAAGCACCTGCAAAATGAAAACAAGAGAATAAATCTCAAATGTTCCCCTAATTAAGGATGTCGAAATATCAATAGCAAATCAATCACAACACTGAAACAAACACACCAGAACCAAACACACCAGAACCATAACAACAAGATCCCGTTTCCCCCAATTATTTACAGGACACTCAGACTTATCCCATGCCTATATGTAGCAACTAGATTATCCAAATCAACCTAATCACTTCCATCTCCATTCTTAAAACAGAATGTCTATCTAACACTGTCCTCAAGTCGAAAGATGCTGTAATAACACCAGAGTGGACATGACATGGGCAGAGATCTGTTCTGGTTACTGCTGCATTACATTACTCGTTCATGTGAGAAACTTAACTACTCAAACCAAGCTTGGAAATCTCCATCAGGACACACATCAAACACTTGCAAGCCTTATACAAATTGCGTATGAAGCGATAAGAAGACCAAACAGACACGACTTCCATGCATGGTATACCGCGAAGCACAAGGTTTCATTATCAATTCATAAGATCACTCAGCAAACAAATGCATATCATTGAAGAAGATAAGATGTCACTTTCTTCAAACTTGCCCAATCTATTGCTTCCATGTTTCACTTTCCATTAACACTAGATTTTTTCTACAAAAGACCAAGACAAAGGTAGTTTCTCTTCATTTAACACTTGTCAACAGTCGGAATATATCCAGCTAGCAGCCATGGAAGAGTAAAAGTAAAATCAAGAAAGCTTCACCGGATCTGAATTCCCAACTTCCCAAAATTACATAGACCTCGTAAGAATCCATCTACAAAAGTCATCATTCCACGAGATCCTACCATCAATTGAATAGTTCATCCACAAAACAGGACGAAGAATTTCATTCAGATTAAAACGCTAACTTTGCTCAACCACCACGGGCAATCAGATTCGAAAGGGGCAAAAGAGAATCAGCTTCCCTGCTCTAAAGATGACAAACCCGAGCTGATCTCGGGAAAATCTAGCCCTCCAATCAATCCAAATCGTTAGCAATTCTCGATACAAACAAAGCCTATCTACAAAACAATCACCAGCTCTTATCAAATGAAACTCGAATCTGGCTTCCTACGCCATCCAAGCCGCTCGATTATCGGAGGCAATTTGACGAATTCCGGGCGTGAGAGAATTGGGGAAAACGGGAAGTACAGTACGAGAGATCG